GGGGGAGAGAGAGAGGGAGGAGAGGAGAGAGAAAGGTGAGAGTGAGCTCAAATTCCAAGGAAGACGGACATTATGGATCTGTGTAGTAGAATCGCTATGAATGAGCAAGAATGGCTCACGGCCTGACACCACCCAGGCCCAGCTCTTGCTAAGTAGTCACCATTTCGCGTTCCTTGCGGCTTTTTCTTTTTTCTTTTTTTTCTTTTTTTTTTTACCTTGTCGGGTACGATGACTATCGATAAAACTAATTTTTAATCATTAAATTTAATAAAAATTACATCAAAACGAAAAAATATACGTAATAAATAATTTTTGAGATAAATTTATCTATTAAAAAATAAAAAAATTATTGATAATTTATTTTTTTACACATACTAGAAAAACTCGCGTTTTTTATTCATTTGTTAAAAAGGGGAAAAGGATAAGGGACTTAGGAGATGTTTAGTTTGAGGATTCAAATAATGATTTGAATCATGATTCATGGTTCGTTATAGTGTTTTCTCTCACAAAAAATACACGTAAATTGAAAATGATTATAATCACATAATTCTAATCCATGAACCAAACATCTCTTTAGAGTCTGTATCTCTCCCTCTCCCCATTTCCCTCATTAGGATTTCTCTCTTTTCTTTGTGTGCGGCTCGTTGTTCTCTTTTAGGACTGAAGTCCGGGATTATCCCTTAGTTGATTTTCAAATCCCCAACCCTAGAGATAAGATTTTAGGTCTCATGACAATGATTATAGTGGTGGTGGTAATTTCGTAAACAGATAGAAGGGATAGGATGTGCCGATTTTTTAACTGATTATATTGTGCATGCCAGATCTCCGGCATGCCTATAACCTCAAAATATTGCTCTTCTCATCACGGTGGTCATTAGGTTGGGAGGTGGGAGTTGTGCGTAGATGAGCGCTCAATGTCAGTGGTGGAGTCTCTAGGTCCTCGCTGATATATCCTTTATAGTCTTGATGGTCAGGTTATTGATGATGATCTTGTTTGAGTGGTTGAGGAATTTTGTCTCGTTTTTTGTTTTTATTTTGATGTAATAAACGTGATGTTGATTCTGCCATATAAGTAATTTTATGTTTTTGTCGTGTAATAACAAAACTTGTAGTCCCACCATTCTATGGTGGTGGTAGGTCTATTCTGTTAGGTTTGATCTTATGCGGTGTTGTGAGTGATCCTAGTGCTCTGGATCTTTTTAGTTTCGATTGATTGGTTTTATCCATTAACTATAGTGGTTTGTTACATGAGCTTTCGCGCTTGATTATTAATGTGCAGAGCGAGTCTTTTTCCATTAAGACTCAGCAATCGTATTTAGTTTTATGCCCCATTCGTCTTTATTGGTGGACCCAATTTTCATCCATGATCGAACACCCTTGTATTTGATGGTCATTTGCCACTATTTTAGAGTATGTATTAACTTAATTATTAAATGAAATTTTCTCATTCAAATAAAAGGGGAAAAAATGTTATTAACAATGTTAGTCTTGAATTATGATTGGTTTTAGTTCTTAATTTTTTTAAAGATTACTCCTTAAACCTTGGGAATGTGGTTGTTTGAA